GTATGTATCTATATATCTCTCGGCCGTGGTGTAACTTTTGCTCTCGGATAAAATACCTTAATTAAATGTATGTATTTTATATATCAATTGTGACTTTGCTTTGGTTCCTTTGCACGTGATCTTCCTTTTTCTCATCACGTGACCATGCTTAGAATATTTTGTTAATTTGTGTTTAGTTTATTATGATGTCTAGAGTTTTAAATTTTCTATTTTGGTATATCAACTTTTGTTTTAAATAGTTATTTTTATGTAATGTGGCTTTTGTAACATGGTATTGTGGAAATGGTGTTAGAGCTATAGTGAGACCGGTGTTGGGGGTGGGAGAGTGGTTGGTGACTGAGGATGAGAAAGGTTGAAATGGTTATTTAAAAGAAAGAGAGGTTATGGCATAGCTCGGGCGGTAGAGGTTGTGAGTTCGATCCCGACCCCACCTCTACATGTTGTACTAAGAAAAAGAAATAAAAGTTTAAGGATTGAAATTGTTACTTTTGAAATGAAATTTAAAAGTTTGAGTTGTATCTTTTTTTTAAGCCTAGAATCTTAATTTCTTTTAAAAAGTAAATTTATTAAAATGTTTTTTTTATGCTGTGAACATGGATCGAACATGTGACCTTCAAATCTTCAGTCTAACGCTCTCCAAACTAAGCTATCCCACTGTTGTTCTCCTCTTAGTCCATTAAATTGAGTTTTTTTTGTAATTACTACATTCTCAACCCTCTTTTTAAACTATGAGTACTTTTATTTAGAGTCTCCATTTGTTGTATGTTACCCACGTCCTTTTTAAATGAAATGTCTTGTCTCTCAAAAAAAAAATCTATTTAATATATATTTTTTATTTTTATATTTGGGGATAAGAAATGACTTCATTCATAGGTGCATATACATTAAAAGGAGGCTAATGTTTTTTTAGTTACTTGAGCTTTCTAAGTAAGTAATATATGTCTTTTGATCATAATTGAGTTCAGTTATGTCGATCCGTAATTTGTGATTTTATTGTTAAGCTTTTGTATTCTATTTAATATAGAAATCTTACTTCACATTATTGAAGGTTAAAATTTTAATGCTCAATCTCTACGGAAAGGTATAGATTAAATGCCTTAATTTATACTATCTGTTCTTTTTAGTACACACAACAAAATATGGGGTGGTGAGATTTTTTGAACCTTTCGAGCATTAGGAATGAGTAAGATGTTTCAATGGTGAATGAAAGTTCATGAATTAAATGTAAATTTAAATATTATTATTAAAAGCATTATTGTACAAATTTATTCTATGTTTTATTTTTCTACAAAGTTGAAACACAAAATATATACTTATATTGGAAATGTTTGTTTACTCACCTTCTAGATGGATAGTTTAAAATGAATTTTGTCCTTCTCTAACTCAAATATTTAACATCACAATGATAAATCTCTCAAAAACATGGTCAATCAATTTTAACATTTCAAGAATTTTCTAAACACGTGATCAATTAGCCCTTACATTGAACACCACAAGATCATATAATAATTAATGAACTAACTTGGCATTTTCTCGCATATATGTTCATTATTTGTAACTTAAATATATATATATATATTAATTAAAGTTTAGCAACCAAACAAACACAAATTAAGTACTATAAGATAACATCATATACAATTCTCTAAAATGATAAAAAAAAAGAGTTTATATATATGATTGTGTAGAACATAAAGTCAAAAGAAAATAAAACACCTCTCTTTTCTTTCTCTCTTTTCTTTTTTGCAATTACTCTTACAAAAAGTACAAATATGAAAATTAAAAAAATATATATTCTAAATAAAGCCAATACCCAATGAAAGTTTCTCCAATCTTTTTTCCTTCAACAACTAGTAAAAAGATTTCAACTTTAGATCATGTTCTTTTTCAATTGAGCTGTCATAGAGAGAGATAAATCAAAACACACACTTTTCACCAAAAAGAGAAAGGGAAGGGGGAGAAAAATAATCTTATAATATGATAAAAGTGAACATCCATTTTTAAAATACAATAAATGAGTTTGACTTGAAGGGTAGATATTAAAAAAAGG